ATGAGTCCGTAGAGTCGAGTGGTCCTTACCCAGAACTAGTTGGTTGCCTCATGAACCTGATGACTTGCACTCGTCCTGACCTAGCATACCCTCTTGGCCTTCTGGCCCGCTACGTAGCTCCTGGCAGGCACCGAAAGGTGCACTAGGATGCTGCAAAGAGGGTGTTGCGCTACTTGTGCAGTACATCGGGCATGGGGCTCGTGCTTGGAGGAGGGAGCTCAGTTGTTCTTACTGGGCACTCAGACGCTTCTTGGGTTGAAGACCAGGCTGCTCAGCGGTCGTCACAGGGTTACACCTTCAGCCTTGGCTCTTGTTCAGTTTCGTGGCGTTCTACACGTTCGTCTTCAGTTCTCAGCTTCAGTTGTGAGGCTGACATCTACGCCACAGCCATGGCTGCACAGGAGTTACGCTGGCTCACCTACCTGCTGACCAACCTTGGAGAGAGGCCTAGTTCTCCTCCAGTGCTGTACGTCGACAACAAGGCTGCCATTGCCTTGTGTGAGGAGCACAGACTGGAGCACAGAACGAAGCACATCGCTCTCCGTTACTTTCTTGCTCGAGAGCTGCAGAAGCGTGGTCAGCTTTGTCTGCGTTACGTGGCCTCTCAGGCCAACACCGCTGATATATTCACCAAGGCACTTCAGCCTGGTGATCATCAGCGCTTATGTACTTTGCTGGGGCTGGTGCCCACTTTTCCTCACTTGTTGTAGGCTTTGCCTGTACTGTGATCTCTATATATACTCCTGCCTGTTTGTTCTTCTAGACTGAGATCATCCTTGCTGTTTGTACTACATATATACTTTTGCATGTGAACTGGCCATGTGGCCCTTTGCTTGTGCTTGGAATGTGTGGTGACGTCGTGATCCACCGTGAGCTTGCTTGCCTTTCCTGACTGGTCTTGTGACCCCTTGCTCTCCCCCACTTTGCCTATGGGGGTATGTTAAACACTATATGTGTTGTTGTTGTGTAGGCTATAGTGGGTTAGCCTTTAGGGGGTACACAAAACTAGGGTTTGCTACTTGTACTCCAACTTTTCATAGTTCAGACACTTCTTGATTCTGACACTTCCGCCTTGTGATCATCTACGTTTCTGTACTGTTCTTGGCCTTGTGCCTACGTTGCCTCACTTGCTCACTTCTTGACCTTGCTTGTTCTGTGATCTATATATCTATACCTGCATGCTTTCACTTGCTAGGTTTTGATCACTGTCCTGTCTGTTCTATGCTATATAACTATGCATGTGAACTGGCCTTATGGCCGTCTGCTTGCGCTCAGAATGCGTGGTGACGTTGTGATCCACTGTGAGCTTGCTTTGCTTTTCTTGACTGGTCTTGTGACCCCCCCTTTGCTCTCCCCCAGTTTGCCTATGGGGGTGTGTCAAACTTATACTCTACAGTTTGTTTAGGCTGTAGTAGGGTAGTTACTATGGGTTACAGTAAGTTTAGGTTTTCTTACTTGTACCCACCACTTTTCTAGTGCACACACACTTGTTCAATCTGACACAGGGCCGCGTCAGTGCAATAGGGCAGGGCAGCGACGGCGGGGCCGCAGCGGCGACGGCAGCGGCGGTCGCTCCGGCGGCTGGAGGCACAACGGTGGCAGCATGGGCGGGCGACGGCTGCTGCTGCAGGATAGGGGCCGCGACGAAGGGGCGGGCAGGGCCGTGTCGAAGGGGCGGGCAGGGCCGCGTCGAAGGGGCGGGCAGGGCTGCGTCGAAGGGGCGGGCAAGGCCGCGTCGAAGGGGCGGGCAGGGCCGCGTCGAAGGGGCGGGCGGGGCCGCGTCTAAGGGGCAGGCAGGGCCACGTCGAAGGGGCGGGCAGGGCCGCGTCGAAGGGGCGGGCAGGGCCGCGTAGGGCCGCGACGAAGTGGCGGGCGGGCCACAAAGGGCCGCGACGAAGGGGTGGGCGAGCCGCTCAGGGCCGCGACGAAGGGGAGGGGCGGGTGGGCCGTGACGAAGGGGCGGGCGATCCACTAAGGGCCGCGTAAGGGCGGCAGGGCGGGCCTCTAAGGGCCGCGACGTCAGGGCAGGCCGCTAAGGGCGCCCGTAGGGCAGAGCCCTAGGCGCGCTTCGGGCAAGGCAGGAAAAAATAGTTTTCAGGTGGTGGGCCCTTCAAAAAAAAAAAAAAAGGTCCCACTAGGGAACCCGCTCTGATACCATGTGAGAATTGTACGAGGAATGAATGAACTAGAAAACAGGTGGGTACAAATATGCAAACCTAAAAGTGTTGTAGCCCATATTGTCAACCCCACTACAACCTACAATATGGTTCTTGTCAGAACATTATAGCTTATATATTTGTGTAGGCTATAGTGGGGTATCCCATAGGGGGTACAACCCAATTAGGGTTTCCTATTTGTATCACTTCCATTCCTTAGTCATCCATTCTCGTTCACTTCTTCCCAGTTCTGACACGAAATGCATAAAGAATCCATATTGTGAAAGCTTCCTAGTTCTTTGCTATTCAAAAATACACATTTTTAGAAAGTGTTACACACAAAAAATAGTTACATAATATCATTTTTTAGAAAATATATCACACGATTATCGGATTGAAATGCAAATAAAGATTAAACCAGTTTCTCGAAAACCGAGAGGAACGAAAATGGAAAGGAAGAAATAAAATGGCATTTCACATATAAACCCGATAACGACACCGAACTCAAGGGTAGGAAGAGAATGTTGTCAGAACCCCAACCACTAGACCATTGAGATAAAAGGGCTTGTTTCAGTAGCGGGTCATTGCGCCCATAACCCCCAAGGCGAACGCGCCTGTAACCCTCCCTAGGATCGATCGGGGATCTCACAGTGTAGCTCCACTGACACCCCCCCACACTGGGAGGCCCAGGACTAAGCAGAGCGGCACCGGCCTAGATGTGCATACACTGGGAATCGAACCCGAGACCGCTCTGATACCATGTCAGAATCCCAACCACTAGACCATTGGGATAAAAGGGCTTGTTTCAGTAGCGGGTCAGTGCGCCCATAACCCCCCAAGCGAACGCGCCTGTAACCCTCCTTAGTGAGGTTAAAACAGAAGTTGGGAGCAACTAATTGCTAATGTCAATTGGCCGCAAACAACCGAACACCTTCATCATTAACAATCGGTGTTTCTATTCTCTTGAACCTATATAATACACCTTAATCTTCCTTTTAAACGTTCAGTGTTGATTGCGTACTCAATATCCCTAATATATAAGCTCTTTGTCTTAAGCATAGTCCGGGACATAAATCATCTATGAAAGGAATCATCTATGCCCAGACCTGGCGTGTCAAATAACGTATCAAAGGAATCATCTATGCCCAGACCTGGCGTGTCAAATAACGCCGTCGACAAGCTCCATGCAGCAAGAAACCAAGAAATCAAATGAGCCTTCTTTGAAAACAAGAACATGTGGACATGAATATTCAAAAGACAATTCCTCATCAACTAAAATAAGTAGGTAAGGTTGCTTATGCTTGTGCACATCAGCTTCTCCTCAACATATGGAGAGAAACAATACTACGAATCATCAACGAAAATGACAGCTTGAAATGATAGCCTCAACAAGTAATAAGATTTTCTAGCGGTCAAAATCTTATGCACTAAACAGAGGGAGGAGTGAAGGGTTCCAGTTCAATTCAGTTTTGGCAGAAAAAATAAATTACTAACATCATAAGAGTTGGTCGAAAATATCTACAAGCTGGTTGGTTAAAGACGAAATGCATGAGCACGTTGGTTCAATTACTTACAAGCATCGCAACATAGTGGATGGAATGAGTGTTTGATATTGGACGGACGGGCTGTTGGGGAAGGGGAGGCGCCGCCGGCTGGGCTTGGGCGGCCAGGGGCGAGCAAACGTTGAAGAGGCGGGCGGGCAGTGAAGGGGCGCGCCGCCGGGCCGAGCTCCGCCGGCCGCGGGCAAGAGGGCAAGGGGGGGGAGGGGGGGGGAGAGCGCGCCGCCGGGTCGGGCTTCGGAGGCCGAGTGCGGGCGGGCGGTGTAGGGGCGCGCCGCCGGGCCGGGCTCCGACGGCCGCGGGCAAGAGGGCGAGGAGGGGGCGTGCCGCTGGGCCGGGCTCCGCCGGCCGCACGCAAGCGGGCGAGGAGGGGGCGTGCCGCTAGGCTGAGCTCCCCCGACCGTGGGCGGGTATAGAGGGGGCATGCCACTGGCCCTGGGTGGGTGGGCGTGCAGGGAGCGGGCGCGCCGTCGGGGCATGATCCGCCGGCCATGGGCGGGCGGTCGGGGAGGGGGCGTACAGATGAGCAACAAGCCCGGCCCGACCCGACCCTACCTGGCCGAGCCACCCAGGCTCCCGGGTCGGGTCGGGTTGTGTCGGGCCAGGCTGACCCGCCCATGTTTAGGGGCCAATGAGGTGTGTGTTCGGGATTTTATTTTTTTTAGTGTATAATGTATGCTGATGCTGTAAGTACTTATATCAAGTATAGTTTTTAGTGCTTCCATGTGCTGCATTACTGATTCATGGTTTTGTATGTTCTTGTTTGGACCAACTACTACAAAATGCATGCAGTCAACCATATTATAAAATAGGCCGCTAATAAAAAATTGAAGCTGCAACTGCAAATGCAGTCTACAACACAATCAAAGAGGTCGTTGATAAGTATAACAATACAGTGCCCTTGAAGACGCAGAGGCAAATGTCAATTCCCCAACTCTACACAATCAACTGTCTATCACAACCCGAACTGCTCTGCTTCAAGACACAATTGTGCCAGTGTGGTTCTAAGGACAAATTTGAAGCCTTTCTCCAAGGTGATGATCCTGCCATGTCTGTATCATCATGGCCGCACGCACCTGTTGTGCACTCGGACGTGCCTCTGTCACCAAGTGATGTCCCTCCTTTGACTGAAGGCCCGCTCACTCACCGCAGACGTGGAGGGTATACCCAGATAATCGCGTGCCATGGCCCTAAGCACGGTCAGCTGTTGCTCCCTCCCGCGCCAGTACACTAAGAAGCACCAATCCTCTTTCCTCGCCTCAGCCAAGTACTGTTCCACCTTGTCCTATGCCCGCACCCCCTCCTCTGCCTCCATCTCTTCTAGCTCAGCAAACAGCATAGCCTGAAATTCAAGCACGCCCCATGCCCTAGCCCCCCTAGGCCCTGCAGCCCCGATGACTGCCGCGCCCTGCCCCGCCACTCCCCTAGCGCTAGTGACCTCACCCCCAAGGCATGCCCCTGCAGCAGCACAGGCCGCGGTCTGGTACTGTAGAAGGCACTCCCGCACCAGCACCTTCACCCTCTCCTCACCCATGTCGAGTGCATGGGCCCCCTGGCATGGCCCCCTCGCCTCCACCACAATGGGTGCGTTACTCCACGCCCCCCGAGCCCTGAGCCTGAAGGGCGCAGTCTTGAGGCGCAGATCGACAAAGGTGGCCATCGCCTCCTCCTCTCCCCCCCCCCCCCCCCCCCCCCCCCCCCCCTCCCCCCCCCCCCCTCCCCCCCCCCATGTGGCGAGATCCCTGGCATGCGAAACGTCGTATCCAGATTATACAGCAGCATGTTGTACTGGGGTACAATAGCTGCCATGGTGGGGTTAAAGGACCCCTCCAAGAACTTGGTGATAGCGCCAAAAGGCATGAGGAAATCACGCAGCTTGATAAGAGGTGCCCTGAGAGCATCGGACAGCCTGATCGTTGTCCATGCCTCGCATGTGGCACGGGGGATGCTGGTCTGGAAGGGGGAGAGTGAAACGGTACAAGAGGAAAACGGATTGGGTTTAGTAACAACGGAATAACCCATGTTTTCCCCACAAGCCAAGGCCCTCATATATAGCATGTGCCCATTGTCAGAGGGTAAGGATTGGAGTGCATGGGAAATAGGATCATAGATATGTGCTAGGATAAGTGTTCAAGTTAGAATCCATATGCAATTCATGTGCTACCCATTCGTTATAAGCATGTGCCTTCCAGCAGCCTGACATCAAGAATCATCCGCTGCAGCTTGAAGTCCGTGGTGACCCGGTGAGCTGTCACCACCATAAACTCGATGTTGTTCTCACTGATCCATATATCCGTGCTGAGTGTCACCCTTCCCCCCAGTCTGTCGCCTGCCAACATCTGCTGAAGCTGAGCCGTAGCGACCTCGCCCGTGGACAACACGTCGCATGCTAGGCGGAAACGAGTGCCGAGGTGATGTGCCACCTCGGGGTTCAGCAGCGCGACGAAGTCACGAAACAGGCATGGGGAAGAGCACATATATGTATCGGTGGGAGGGATTGGCTTGAGGTTACTGAAGACGGGTCAACAATGCATCCCCAAGCGTAGTTATGAACGACATTGAACAAGATCTTACCGCATGCATGTTGACACATCGGACGGCAAGTAGAGCCTGGCAAAGAGCATCACCAGCCCCTCGCGCAGCCGTTACATAGGTGTGGATGGTCGTGTGCCTACCCACCCCCCATAATGGAAAACAAGCCCCTCGGGCTTGTTCGGGTCCATGAAGCGACGGACCCAGATCTGAACCGCGGAGCGTCACGAGGCAGTCGTTGTTCCGTCAAAGCAGTGTGTGCTTCGCCACCTGCATGGGGGGAAAGGGAAATGGGGCGGAGGAGGGGGAGGCTGAAGAGGGGGGGGGGGGGTGTATATCTGGGGCATGGAATGTGAAATGTGACATAAGGACGCGGCACCTGTTTTCATATTGCCAGGATCGATCGTGGGAGGGGGTCGATGTGCCGCTTGTACAGTGTATTGGCGACATAGCCAATGCCTGGTATCCGTTTTTCGCTGAACGTCGAGAATGTACAGCAAACGGGTACCCAAATTGGTGGCACCTGCAGCTCGCACGATTGATGTGCTGGGGTGCATGCGTTAGGGTTGGCGGGAGAGCATATCGCGCCACATGTGATAGCCTCGATCGATCGGCGTCGCCCACGGTCGTAGGTCAAAAATTCTAGAGTCGCTGCGAATGGAATTGCTGGACGACCATCCACGCTCTGCCCTGATTGGCTGCGCGTTTAAGTGTAATGGCAGCTCCAACCTGCCCGAGCCTGCAATTTCGATCCTGGCACCTATAGCTCGATGTGTCTACCCCACTGCAAATTTGCAGTGTGGGCACATCGGTGTGCCGATCCATATGCCAGGATCGATGTGAGGCCACGATCCTTGTAAAATGAAAACAGGTGCCGTGTCCTAAGTGGGGCCTAACGTAGGGTGTCACATGACATGTCAGGCAGGCAACGACAATCACATTAGCCATAACCTAATGTCGCATCCATAAAAGAGAGTAAAAATTGCGAGTCTCACTCACTATATCCCAACTCTGGTCGCTGTCGGTTAGTTTTTGAGAATGCTTAAAGCCTCTCCAACTTGGAATGCCATACGATACTAGCGCATTCAAGAATCGAAGCTGAATTATGAAATTTTGTAAGTTTGAGGGACACGATGGCGAGAGCGTTGTGGGCATTGCACGCCGGAAGTGCGGCATCATGCTCCCCTGGAGCTCGGAAGCCTTCATAATGTGCCCCACTCCATCACACCCCGTCACACCTCTTTCACCCCATCACCGTGCCATGCCCCTTTGGTCCCTGTGACAACCCGTATACTCTGGTGGAACAGCCGTGTCACGACCATTTGACAGCCCGTGTTCTTGTGCGAGAACGCATCGCACCTAGTCACACCATATTACACAGCATCACACCGTACCTGTAATTGGGTGGGAGCCACACCTGGCCACACCCTCTCGAACCCGACCACCGTATCACATCCACACGAATAGCATCACACCCCGACACCCCCCCATACCACCGTACCTGGAAGTGGGAGGAGCTGAGGCAGAGCGCGATCTGCTGGAACAGAGGCGTCATCACCAAGTGGAACTCGAGCTCCTGCGTGAGCTCCAAAATCTTCTCCAACTCTTCCAAGAAAAGCAGCTCATTTTGGTTGTTACTTAAGGCCCAGAACTCAAGCAACCCGAGCAGCACCGAATCCGCAAGATTCGGGTCTTTTTCCACAAACAGAGTGATGCAGTACGACAGCTGCTGGTGGTACATCGACACGCACTTAGGCTTGTGCAGCGGAACCAGCACTCGCTCCAGGATCTGCTTTCGCTCCTCCTTACTAACCGGCATCACAAATCCTTTAATAATATCCTCTAGAAACTCTAACAGCTCCGCGATGCCGTCATGTCGCTCCGACTTTATAAACTGGTAAAAGATCTTGTTTACCGCTTCGCAGATGAACAGCCGATGAACCATGAATTTCAAGTAAATCTGGTGCATGATAGTCTTCAAGTAGCCCCGCTCGCGAGGGTCCTCCGAGTCGAACAGGTTCAGCAACTTTAAGACGAACTCCTGGTCTATGTAACGCTTCGCCACGTCGTCGGCGTCGGTCTCGCTACTAGAGATAACATACCAAAGCAGATACTCGTATACTATTTGCAGATGCAGCCACGCGGCTTCCATAGTCGGCTTCTTTAGCTCCGGATCGATTGATTCCGACTCGGACATCTCGTGCGCGGACGATGGTAACGGCCGGAAGAGATTAACCTCCAACGTCCGCGTGATGCCTTTGAATACCGCCTCGTTGTATTTCCCCGTTCCGGATTTGACGTAGTTGACTAGCTCACCCCAACCTGACCCAAATTTGACTACGAGGTCACCTTCGGGTCACGTACGTAGGTTCAGCTGGGGTCCCAGGGTCCGTCAAGTTTGGGTCACACGAACCAGACCCCAACCTTATATCGCAGCTAATCCAGAGGTGACGCGGCGGTCAACACTGTTTATCCAAGTCGCCCACCACAATAGAGTGATCCACTACATGCTATTATGAATGCGATACTGTACCTGCTACACTACGAGTATTTTTAATTATTATTTTAAATCATTATTATATACAATACTCCTGCAGCTAGTAAGTTGAGGTTAGAATTTGCAATAAATCCAGGTGTTTTATACATGCAAATGCAGGGCATCTACAGCTGGACATGACAGACAGAATACGCACATCTACACACTACATAGCGAAGCGACATGGTAAGTAACAAAACACTATAGATCTTGTAGCTTGAGCACCACCTGCCACACACCAACAGCAGACAGAGTCTATTTCCCCCAAACGCAATAAATGCAGCCGAAAAAAAAACATTAACATGTAAACGACAGTACATACCTAAGTGCTGCACTAACTATTACTTCCACATCACATCGAAAATGCTCATACTCTTCGTTCACCAGATAAGTGTAGCGCGTGCTGCACACAAGTCATAATAGAATTGACAATGGTCTTTTGTCTTGCAGACGCGCCCTGTAACAACAGCCAACATACCGCCACATGCACTGATGTTGGGTTAAGGAACGGAAAAGTAAAGTAGACGCTTTCTTACCTCGTCGATAGTCACCCACGGCTACTAGTACCCCCGATTGGAGCCGTTGCTGCCCTTCGTGAGACCTTCATTGCTCCCCACTATCGCCATCACCGCCACCCGCCGAAACCCCCGCGCCATCTCTCCTTGCCACCACCCTTCGCGTCCCTTCCCACTGGCGCTCGATCAAGAGGCGGCAGCTCCGACGCCGGCGCGACGTTGGATGCGGTGGGGGCTTCGCTTGAAGAACCTGCGAAAGCGATAGGCAAGGAGTGTGAAAACAAAGAACGAGAATGGAATGACTATGAACGAAGAGAGTACAAATAGGAAACCCTAATTGGGTTGTACCCCCTATGGGATACCCCACTATAGCCTACAGAAACAAGTAAGCTATAAGTTCTGACACACCCCCATAGGCAAAGTGGGGGAGAACAAGGGGTCACAAGACCAGTCAAGCAAAGCAAAGCAAAGCTCAGGGTGGATCACAAAGTCACCACGCATTCCGAGCACAAGTTCAAAGGCCACAAGGCCAGTTCACATGCAAGATCATATATAGAGATATACAAGAGCAAGAGTATATATATGCGAAAGTACAAGCAAGGTCAAGAGGAGAGCAAGTGAGGCAAGACAGGCACAAGACCCAACTGCGTGCAGCAACGCTGATGATCACAAGGCGCAAGTGCCTTGGTGAAGACATCAGCAGTGTTGGCCTCAGAGGCCACGTACGCAAGTCGCAGCTGTCCACGCTGCTGTAGCTCACGAGCAAGAAAGTAGCGAAGAGCAATGTGCTTCGTTCTGTGCTCCAGTCGCTGCTCTCGACACAAGGCCAGCATGGCCTTGTTGTCTACGTACAGGACTGGAGGAGAACGAGGCTGCTCTCCAAGGTCGGTCAGCAGGTAGGTGAGCCAGCGTAACTCCTGTGCAGCCATAGCCCCAGCGTAGATCTCAGCCTCACAACTGGAGCCGAGAACAGAAGACGAGCGGGTAGCCCGCCACGAGACAGAGCCGGAACCAAGGCTGAAGGTGTAACCCTATGACGACCGCTGCGTAGCCTGGTCGTCAGCCCAAGAAGCGTCTGCGTGCCCAGTGAGGACCACTGGACTGCGCCCTCCAAGCACTAGCCCCATGCCCGACGTACTGCACAAGTAGCGCAACACCCTCTTCGCTGCAGCCATGTGCTCTGGTCGGTGTCTCCCAGGAGCAACAAAGCGTGCGAGAATGCTAAGAGGGTATGCGAGGTCAGGTCGTGTGCAGGTCATCAGGTACATGAGGCAGCCAACAAGCTCTGCAAACGGGCCACTCGACTCTACGGACTCATCCGAAGGCAGAGCTGAGAGCGAGTGGCGAGTAGGCAGAGGAGTGGCCTGAGGCGAGGAGTACGTGAAGCCGAAGCGCTGAAGGACCTGCTGCACCATGTGTGACTGAGTCAGGGTAATGGTGCGGCGTGCTCTGTCCCGGGTGATCTGCAAGCCAAGGTAGCTGCGCAGTTCACCCAGGTCAGTGCACGTGTGTCTCTTCTGCAGCTCGGACTTCACGTAGGCGAGTCCAGCAGTGTGAGCTGTGGCAAAGACCAAGTCGTCGACGTACACGAGGATGTAGAACGGCGGCAGAGAGGTGTCGGTGCGCAGAAACAGCGACGGGTCGGCAGTGGAAGGAGCAAACCCAAGTGCCGCGAGCGTAGTCCTCAGTGTGTCGTGCCACTCACGTGGCGCCTGGCGGAGACCGTAGACTGGACGCCGGAGACTCCACTGGGTACCAGGAGGGAAGGACCCAGTGAAGCCAGGTGGGCGACGCAGCCAGATCTCCTCGTGCAGGCTGCCCTGCAAGAAAGCTGTGCTGAAGTCGAGAGAGTGCAGCTCGTAGTCACGGTGAGCAGCAACGTGTAGCAGAACCCGAAGAGTGGTCATCTTCGGGGTGGGGGAGAAGGTCTGAAAGTAGTCAACCCCCTGCCGCTGACTGAAGCCACGAGCCACGTAACGCGCCTTGAAGACAGGCGGAGAACCCGGCGGCCGCTTCACCCTGAAAATCCACATGCCACTGACGATGTTCGCCCCAGGAGGGGGAACAGCGTCAACGTAGGTGCCTGTGGACTTCCAGGAAGCCATCTCTGCATCCATAGCTGCCTGCCACTGAGAGGAGTAGGGACCCTCTATCGCCTCCGCGTAAGAGCGCGGAGTCGGGATGTCTGGTGCATCCGGGTCTCCCTCAGGGGCTAGCAGTACAGACGCGAGACGAGGTGAAGCGGCGGCCAGACACTGGAACTCCTCCTGCCTGTCCTCAAGGACGTCCGTGCCAAGGGCACACTCACCCCCGACGGACGGAGGACAGGCGGACGCAGACTCAGTGACAAGACGAGCAGCGTAGTCTAGACGACAGTGCGCAGCAAAGTCGACAAGCTCAGTGACAAGGGCAGACGCAGCAGACGACTCGAAGGAGGGGTCAGTGACAGCAGTAGCTAGGAGACGCGTGACAGTAGGACTGGCAGCACGAAGAGCGTCCGACTCCGGGTCGGCAAGAGCAGGAAGAGAGGAAGCAGGAGGAGAAGGCAAAGGGGCACGCAGAGGAGCAGTGGACGGACGCAGTGACATCCGGTGCGTGCCAGGGACAGGAGGAGGACGCTGACGCGAGCCGCGACCACTAGCGCGCTCAGTACGAACAGGCGACACAGGACGAGACGCAGGCTCACGACGCTCAGTAAGACCTCCAGTCGGACCAGCGTAGGGAGAAGGAGCAGGCAAAGGGGAGGCAGGCTGTAGCTGTGGCTGTGACCGGACAGGCTGCGGACCCTCGAAGGGAGGAGGAGGAGGTGTAAGACCAAGAACCTGCTGCAGGAGCGGAACGAAGTACGGTCGGGGCCGCGCGGCGACGCTAGAAACAGCAGGAACAGCACCAACAGCCCCGGCAGGAGCACCCTCTCCAGCAGCACCTCCAGCAGCACCACCAGAAGCTCCAGAACCTCCAGCCGCAGCACCAGGAGCACTGTCAGTCGTGCCGCCAACGGCAGGCTCAGCGCCAACACCCTCAGCAGGACCAGCTCCAGGAGAACTCTCAGACTCAGCAGCTCCAGCACCCACAGTACGAGCGCCGGCGGGGCGCGCAGCAGCAGTACCCTCTGCACCAGCAGCACGCCTCCAGCGCCCGGCAAACCACTCACGCAGCTCCTGTGGGGAGAGTGGCTCCCGGCGAGACGAAGCACCCCCAGGCACAGCACCTCCAGGCTCAGCACCCCTAGACACAGCACCCCCAGGCTCAGCACCCCCAGGCACAGCACCCCCAGGCACAGCACCTCCAGGCTCAGCACCCCCAGGCACAGCACCCCCAGGCTCAGCACCCCCAGGCTCAGCACCCCCAGACTCCGCACCCCCAGGCTCAGCTCCCGCAGCAGCACCAGAGTCACCAGTGACCTCGACAGGCTCGACCGCGTCTACCTGGGACACACCTGAAGGGGCAGGACCCTGAGGGGGGAGGGGGACTACCGGGGGGGGACCTGGTACCAAGAAGAGCGGGGGTGGGGGGAGGGACGGAGTGCGGTAGGGGAAGAGGCGGTAGTAGGGTACCGACTCGTCGAACGTGACGTCCTGGGAGGACAGAACACGTCGAGAGGTGGGGTGGTAAAACTGCCACCCAGGGGCGTCGGGGGGGGAACCCCAGGAAGACGCAGGGAGAAGCACGAGGGGACAGCTTGTCCGCAGACAGGTCGCGAACAAACGCCCGAGATCCCCAGACCCGGAACGCCGACGCATCGCCAACCTTCCCAGTCCACAGCAGGGCTGGGGAGGTCTCCGGTCGAGAGACCCTGGGGTGGAGGTTGATCTGGTGCGCAGCGTACCTGACCGCAAACGGCCACAGAAAATGGGGAGCAGCCGCATGCATCATGGATGTACGAGCGACGTCCATGACCATGCCAATGCGGCGCTCAGCAATCCCATTCTGCTGTGGTGAGTCCGGAAGCGTGAAGGTCTGACGGATGCCTCGCGCACGACAGTAGGCACTCAGGAGGCGAGAGGAGAACTCTCCGCCTCTGTCCGAGTGCAGACGCAAAACAGGGAAGTCAGAGCCAAAGCTCCTCCGAAGCTGGAGACGAGCTGCGCGGATCCAGTC